TGTGTGTGTGTGTGTGTGTGTGTGTGTGTGTGTGCGTATGAGGTACCATGCTGTGTGGCTGTATGTCAGGTCGCTCCAGGGCGATGGTGATGCAATTAAGGAAGATGAAAAGCAGGACGATGTGATCAAACATCTTGTGACCTATGACCCTCTGACACCACAACCTGAACCTGCAGAGAGACGGTGTGAGAAGAGAAAAGGATCTGCAACAACCCCAGTGTTTATTTTCTATTCAACACATCACCTGCATCACTTCCACCGCTGCATTTCTGCCAGGTTTAATTGATAAAAGTACAAATTGTACAACCAAGCTTCAGCTGTCAACGTCACACTTTAGCTGTGAATTTTCACACATGCGTGCGGTTAAGGCGACCTAGGCCACCCTGGAGAATATCAGGGCCTGTGCATAAACGTGTGTTTGTGTGTATCTTTACTGGTTGTGTGGAGCAAACAGATAGAGGGACCACTCTTCATGCTCCAGGCACCACTGAGGCTCATATGGCTCCAGTATCTTCTTCAGCCTCTTACATAAACTCTGGAATGAACACACAAACAGACGAATCACATCAGAGCGTACACTCGTTACATTACAACAACCAGCATTGCTCCAAAAGTTGATTCTGTTCATCTGGACGTAGCGTTTTGTGGGAGGAAATCAGAAAATCAGTATTGCTCATCATCTTATACACCCATGATACCGCAGAATGAAACTGAAGTCATTTTCATTTCTATCTGAGGTTTTTTCTTTCTTTTCTTTTTTTTGCAGCGACCTCGTGCGCATGCACAAAAAATTCCAACACAGCTCTTTTTCAAACAATATTCCGAGTCATTCTTCCACCCGGATCTAATTTAAATTCAGCTAATTAAATTTTTCTAAGTAACAAAAGTGTCTTAAGGTCAGCCAGGTTGGAATTTATGCCTTTGCGGGATAATTAGCAGCAGCTTTTGAACTTCTGAGCATGCCCAAAACAAGCTCTTTTATAAACTTGTTTTATCTAGGAAAAACAGAAATGGGACGCCATCAAAATGCCTGCTCCCTCTGATTGGAACACACGCCAATTAAAACTGCCCGAGTCTACATTTACATATATATTATATAACAAATTCAAGACAAATTCATGAAACAAATAGGCATTAACCTCTTCAATCTCCTCTTCCTCTTGATCGCTGTGGTTATGCGATGTCAGGGGAGCATCGTCGTAGCAGTGGTCTGGCAGGTGGAAGGTGGTGCCGTTACAGTCTGGGGAGAGGAGCATTGGCACCTGCAGGTACTCTGACTGGTCCAGAGACTGCTCCCTGCTGCTGGCTTTGGAGCTTGAGTATGTGTCGGACAGCAGGGACTCCATTTCTCCAGACTGGCTCTTCCTGTGGAGGCTGGGGGCTCGGCCGATGCTAATCCAGCTGGAGCGACGGCTCTCTGGCCCACTGTCCCACAGGGACTGTGAAGACAACTTAGAACAGAACCAGTGCCTTGTTGGATTTCTGCCTTATCTTTCAAGTGCAAATAAGGATTTCATTCTTCA